ATTTCCCACTGTGTTGTACAGAAATCTCTCAGCGCTTTCGCACAGCGGCGCGCGGCAACTTTGATATCAAAGGTATAGCCGGCTGCCGCACCAGGCTTCAAATTTGTTTAAACCTTCATGTGAAATTTTTTCTCAATTTAAAACGCAAAGGTTTAGACCATCAATTAATTGCCTATTAAAAGTTATTTTCATGCCCTCCGTCACCCTTTTTAAGGAACGCGCTTATTTCAGAAACACCCTGTATATGGTGATCTTCAATAATTTGAATCTATGGGTAAATTTTAAATATAAAACAACAGTAGTATTTTTTATTACAGTTTATTATAAACAATAGCAATATTCAATAAAAAGAGGTAAGAAAATTTACCAAAGTATAAAAAACACTCGGCTTTACTCTTGATTAAAATGAAACATTTAGTGCACTAATATGTAGTAAAGCCTAATTACATATTAATATAATATTTACACACTCATCTCTACCACTGCCCACTGGTTTCAAAGTTGTTACAGCAGGTGCAGAAAATATCACACAACTTATTAATTTTTTTTTTTTTTTGGTTAGCTGTGACATACATACATCCCACATATGTACTTATAATTCACAACTTAATATAATTTTATTTACTTAAAATACTTAGGACGAAATCTAATAATCAAATTCACGAATTCTATACAACTTCTCCATAATAGTAAAGAACAACTCGTGAGGCAGACCCTTTGAGATCTGCTGGATGTGGGTGTGGATTATATTAAAGCTTTCTTCCTCATATGCTACATAGGTACTTGGCAGATTCAGCTCTTCATACAAACTTCTGATTATTTGTACAGATTTGTCCTCTGGCCTTCCGTAATACTCCTCCATCAATTTTCTTTGGGCAGCATTGGCTCTTTGCAAGGCTACCACTGCTAGCCATGAACATCTACCTACTTTGATGTCCTTACCAACTTGTCCTGATACGCCACCACCAAAACAATCTAAGAAGTCTTTCTGTAAAAGAATAATTCCATTTTATTTAACGTCGGCATTTCTGATCAATTTCTGACAACAAAAAGCTGGTTAACTAGTTATTACTTAACTACAAGCAACCAACCTGAATTTGGAAAAATTGTCCCATTTCCAGTAAGATAGTTTTGGCTTGGCGGTGTTGTTCTGGATCGTACATATCGGCAAAATACATTGCCAATGCCACGGGCAAGTGGAAGGTGTAGTATCCGGTCTTGTATTTCATCATTAAGTTATAATTCTTCATGGTGAACTTGTCCAAGTTCGGTTTGCCCTGATTTTTGATGATCCCATCCAGGGACTTGCCCATTGCGGTCTTTAAGGTCACATCATGGAAAAGTTCAACCATGGGCACGTAACAGTTGTAGGATGAGAAATATTTTCTCAATATGGAGTACAGACTGTTTTCTAAGAGGGTGCCGTCGTGGATAGCATTGAGTCCAATGTTGTCTTTCTTAAACCAGCAGGGCGAGCCGCGTCGTATTTGCGTGTCGTCCACGATATCATCTATCACTATTTGGAAACCACGCAACTGAAAAAGAAAATGGAAAATTCAAATGTGCCCTTTTGAATTCATCCATTTCTTGCAACATCAAGTAACTACTTTTATGATCAGGAACTAAATAGATTTTAGTATAGCATATTGTTCAATTATTATTAAACAAGTAATGTCGTAACTATTAACAAATAATCAATGCATTATGCGTATACAAATTCTGGCTTTATTGCTGTTGTTCCAGATGTGAACCAAAGATGAAGATATAAATTATGAAATGTTATTTGCTTCGTGATTACAACAGTTCGAGATTAACAATAACAAGTCTACCGACTGTTACAATAATTTACATAAATAAACCGAATGGCATCGCGAGATAATGTAATTGCAATATACAGGGACTTGTGGAAATTATTGCAAAAAATATAGAGGCCCATAGAGAAAATAATACGATTTTTTCTTAGATCTATCGTAGTTTGTGTATGCAATACAGAAAGTCAAACATTATTTTTTAAAATAATATTTTCGTCATATATTTTGCAACAAAGTAATAGTATTTCATTGAAATTTGGTAACAAGCAAGTTTTTGAGGGTGTTGTTAGTTTTCGACCATTTGCTATAGGTCGCTACTATCTCTCCTAGTGACATTTTCCTACATACATTTTTGAGGTTAAGTGTTATACATATGGTATGTAAAATTTCAGTGTACCTACACAAAAAACTGTTCGGATCGCGAAAAATATTTGAGAAAAACGGAATTAATATGCCTAAAGTCAACCAGCTTCCCTTTCGTAATGTGCAGAGTTCCCAGTAATCAGCGGCCGATACTCCCAAGAGTAGTTTTCTTAGTTGAAAACAAACGGAATTAGATTAAACATACGTTTAGTACAATCTTATTTCATTTTTTTTTGAGGATCCGTAATTTTTTAAAGCAAAATTGATCTAACTTAATTCATTTTCTTCTAAACAATCGACCCCCATTCGTTTGCAAACAAACCTGTACATTAAGAATACGAGCTAGTCCACTTTGAGACAGTCAATTGTGTTTTCCAATAATGCAACTTGAAAATACTTCATTCTGTAAAATAAAATTTTATATTCCAATACGAGAAATACGATATAAAAACCTTAACCTCAAAAAA